GTGAGCCACTGCGCCCAGCCCCACCTCTTCTCTTTCTTTTGGGCTCCCCACTTCCACCCCTCCTCTGCCTTTCTCTTCTTCCAGGCCCCATCGTCTTCCATCTTGCCTTAGGGAATTAAGTTGCTTTTAATATTAGCCTAAACCAAACAAAATGAAGGTATTAGGATATAGTGGAAACACATAGAAGGCTGAGATTCACCTTGATTCATCTGCCTGCCAGGGCGTTGTCAGCTACTCAGGCTATCATCCAATGGGTGGCACCCATCCCACCTAGTTGGAAGAATTTAGAACTAGTCCACGGGGCCTTGACCACATCTTCATCTTTGCCTTTACACGTGCACGTTTTCTTGTCATTTGTTGGATTCTGTCTTCCCTGATGGTAACAATCCCTGTGTCCTTTTTACTCATAGCTCAGTGCAGATACTCTGTGTTTCTAGAATAAACAACTCCCTAAATTATTTTATCCAAACACCTTATTTTAGAGGGTTAGAAAATACTTAATAGTTAAACTTCAAAATATGTGCTCTTGAGGGAAAAATCAGGAGGCTTTGAATAGTGTTATTTTGGGACAGAAAATACCGGAGAAGAACATACTTTCTGAGTTTTTCATAAAACCTCCTTGTTCATTTTTGAGGAAGGAGGGGTTACCCATACTCATTGTCACAGAAGCTGAGCAGAATTGGGGTTATTAGATCTCAGCCTCCTGTGGGATTCCTAGGGAAACTTATGAGCCTGGGAGTCTACTGGGTGGTTGATGCTTCCTCCGGAATGCAGCCTGGCCCACCAGCTGCTGGGGGCCCTCTCAGCATCACCTTTCGGTTAACAAAGGATCTGAAAGAGAACCCAAGGCCCAGAGGTGGCCTGATTAAGTAGAGAAGGACTGGGCCTGTGATTCGAATGTTTGAGGGCTCTGCTAGGAGAATGAGAGGAAGCCCAGTTAATCCTCCCAGGACTCCAGGAGCAGGGCATTATCCCAAGTTGAGAAGGGGATTCAGAAGAACTAGGCACCTAGGAGTAGAGGTGACAGGGTGATTTGAAAGGACTACTTGTTAGATGCAAGGACCAGCACAAGAGAAGGCGAGACTCTTACACAGGGGCAGTTAGAGAGGCAGAGCAGCCCCAACCAGGAGAAAGTGGATGTGGAGATGTGTTGTGGTGAGAAGTTGGAGAGGAAAGGAGGAAACAGTGAAGGGCATGGAAACCTGGGCAGAGGGGCTTGGGACTGTGCTCTGAGGCAGAGGGGAGCCATGGCAGGCTCTGTGCAGGGGCTGTCCCGCTGGAGGAGTGCTGGTTTCTGTGCAGGCGGGTGGAGGGAGAAAATGCTGGAGACAGGAACAGTGTGTGAAGCACCTGGCTATTGTGGGAAGCAAGTGTGGGGTGCTGAGGGAGGTCAAGAAATGAACTCTCTCTGGACTTGTCTGCCATCATGTGCCTCTCTTCCATCCCCAGAGAAGAGCTAGACTTGGGTGTGGCAGGCGCAGGGACAAGAGGGATGTCCTAGCCTGGCAGCTCTGGCAGCGTGCTCTGGGGTTCAGTGATCTCATGTGCCCAGGTTTCCAGGTGGCTTCTTGTGAGGCCCTCTGGGATCTGGCTCCCAGGACCAATGTGGTCCAGCAGTGAAAAGCCCCTTAGAATTTCCCTTCTCTTCCTCTCCAACCCCTTGCATCTCTGCTGCCTCCTAGGCAGTATTGTTTCCTGGAACGGGTGGGAGAAGCTGGAGCTCACAGCCAGGGATGGCGGCAAGCTGTGTTATGTAAGTTTGAAAAAGGGAGGCTTGCTTGCCATGTGAATAGAGATCAGATACAAGGACAGCTAGATGCAGCAGTCATGCCTGAGCAGTAGCTGCAGCCTGAAGAGAGGTGTCTGAGCCAGCAAAGGAAGAAGCTGCTGGCCTGGGTGGAGGAGACTGTGTTCTTGTGGGGAAGAAGAGGTGTCTGGTTCTGTGAACTGCTGATCTCGGAGGGCAGCCTGTGAAGCAGTCATTCTCTGTTCCTATAACGTGGTGTGCTGCTCATATGCCACGCCTTATTACATCGATCCTGGTCTGTGATGGTATGAGAACCGCCATTGTGACTCTTTCATTCATGGCAAACCATGGCCCAGAAAAGTCAAGTGACTTGCTCGGGGCTGCGTGGAGAGTGAGTGGCAGGGTCAGGATTTGACACAGGGCTTCTGTGTCACTAGCCAGTGCTACTCTTTTACTCTAAAACAGGCCTAACAGGTCATGCCTAAACAGCCCATGGGGAGAGTATGGGCCAGGTGAGGGAGCCTGGTGCCGTGTGGCCTGGCATGGATGAGAGGCGATGGCACTGGGTGGGAGGTGTGGAAGAGGGCTTGTGTCAGAGTGCCTTGGTGTGCCGCTCCAGCAGGCGCTGTCACACCCCTTACCCTTCTCAGTCTCGTTCCATTCTCAGCATGATTTTCCAAATCCCGAGCTCCTGACCTCCAGAGGCCAGGCACCCAACGCCTGTCCTCTGAGGGGCCATGGGCATGGTGGGATGAGGAGGTACAACTCCAACAAGCAACTGCTGGACTCATGCCTCGGCTGAAGTGTTTGTGCGCCCTGTCCTAACACTAGGCCCAGGGAAAGAACAGAACTCGCCCCTCTCCTCCCGAAGTTCAGAATCTCCCCATGGTTCTCTGAGAGGCTGCGTGGCTCACTCCCTATCTCTGTTCACATAGTTGCTCAAGTGTCCTCCTCACAGGGCCGTTTCTTCCACCTTGTCATGGCAGTACCCTCCTTACTCTCTCTGCCCTCACAGGGTTTTGTTTTGTTAATTTTTTTTGAGACAGAGTTTCACTCTATTGCTCAGGCTGGAGTGTAGTGGCATGATCTTGGCTCACTGCAACTTCCACCTCCTGGGTTCAAGCGATTCTCCTGTCTCGGCTTCCTGAGTAGCTGGGATTACAAGCTTGTGCTACCACACCCAGCCAATTTTTGTATTTTTAGTAAAGACAGGGTTTCACCATGCTGACCTCAAATGATGCGCCTACCTCAACCTCCCAAAATGCTGGGATTACAGGTGTAAGCCACCATGCCCAGCTGGGTTTTATGTTTCTCTTTGTGCCACTTAAGACCACCTGATGTTACACATTTGTTCATTGATTGATTTATTGTCTGTCTCCTCACACTAAAATTGAAGCTTCATGACAGTGGGGGACTTGGTCAGTTTCTTGCCTGCTGTCTGCCTGGTGCCCACACAGAGCCCACAGGTAAGGTAGCAGGTGCTCAGTGGACAGTAGGTGGCGACTGTTAGACCATGGCAGTAGGGTGGGTAGAAGAGGACAGGTGTTAAGTGTCAGAGGGCCTGGGATCTGCTTTCAGCTTTACCCAGTTTTTGCTGTGTGACTTTGAACAAGTTGCTGGATCTCTTGGGCCTTAGCCTTTTTTTGTTTTTCTTGGAGACAGAGTCTCACTCTGTCACCAGGCTGGGGTACAGTGGCACGATCTTGGCTCACTGCAACCTCTGCTTCCTGGGTTCAAATGATTCTCCTGCCTCAGCCTCTTGAATAGCTAGGGGTTACAGGTGTGCACCACCACACCTGGCTAATTTTTGTATCTTTATTAGAGACAAGGTTTCACTATGTTGGCCAGGCTGGTCTTGAACTCCTGACCTCAGGTGATCCTCCTGTCTCGGCCTTCCAAAGTGCTGGGATTATAGGCATGAGGCACCGCCAGCTTTTGTTTTTCAATTTGCCCTTGGAAAGATACTTAAATAGACCTGTTTGAATCTGTTTAAGAATAAATAGTCGGCCATGGTGACCCGCACCTATCCTCCCAGCTACTTGGGAGGCTGAGGCGGGAGTATTGCTTGAGCCCAGGAGTTCAAGCCCAGCCTGGGCAATTTAGTGAGACTCTGTGTCTAAAAAAGAAATAATAAATAAATGCATTCATATAACACAGTGTTGAAGGGAAAAATAATGAAACGTTAGTAGTGACTCTGCTGGGTTGTATCATAGGAGGTTTGGATTTTTTCTGTGATTTTCTAGATGTCCTATGTGGTGTCTATATTACGACTATTAAGGATTTCCCTAGACATGGTCTGCCCTCAAAGTGAGTCTCATTGCTGATGTCTGCTCCACAAAGCCCTGCTCCAGGGGCCTTCACCAAGTCCCAGCCTTGGTTTTCTCACTTATAAATGAGGATAATTGACCCTGGTCTGTGCACTTTACAGGACACTTTATGAATCAGAGGATACAGTGGGAAAAAAAAAAGTTTGGAAATTTAGGTCTCTGCAAACTAAGGGCCAATGTACTGGTATTTGTGACAGTGACCAGATGGGTGGGATGGGGTGATAATAAGAGTGCAAGGAAGGGGGATGGGAACATTGTTTTGCCTCTGAGGAGCAGCTTTAAGCCCTCTCACGTTCCAGCGCCAGATAGCAAGGGGTTCCCCTTGACTGGCAGGGTAGATGTAGCTGTGTAGGCTGTTAGGTGAGTGACTCCAGTGCAATGGAATCATCACTCAGCTCCCACCCCTGCCACACATACTCATAAGAAAAAGACCCACATGCTCTGTGCCTGGTGCAGAGGTCTAGAATGGGAATTCCCGCCAAACCCTGTCCCCTTCTAGCCTGTGTAGCTTCAGCAAGCAGATAGGTTTTATTGTTTTTTTTCTGCCTCCTTCATGATCCAACCATAGATAGTATGTCTTACCAGTATGGGTGGTTGAAGCAACAGACTTCGAAATCCTGACTGTTCATGATAACAGACTCCTTCCTGTGGGTCATCTGGCCAAGTCTGCATTCTCAGAGTGGAAATTGACTGTCTTTCTATTCTACTTCTAAAGCAGCTGCTCATTTCATCTCCTGACAGTTGCTTCTTGAACTTGGAACAAGGGGCCTTGGTGTACAGTGTTTGCAAGCCAAGGGCTGCCTGATGGCGGACGGGGTGTTGTCCTGGGACTCAGGGTCAGGGCTGGTCTGTGTGGAATGCTGACCCTTCTCTTCCCCAGTCTACCTGTGTCAATTCCTTCCTTTTCTATTTTCTCTTCCTTGCAGATGTCAAGCCCTCCAACATCCTAGTCAACTCCCGTGGGGAGATCAAGCTCTGTGACTTTGGGGTCAGCGGGCAGCTCATCGACTCCATGGCCAACTCCTTCGTGGGCACAAGGTCCTACATGTCGGTATGAACAGAAGTTTCCATTGCTTGAGCTTCTTGTACGGTCAGGGATAGGAGTCCAGTGGGTATCTTTCCTGTGGAGCCAGAGTCTTGTGCTGGGTGGGGGATGAGAAGTGAGGGAGGAGGCACAGTGGTCCTCCCTGAGGAGATGAAGTTGAATGGGAAGATGGTCTTGGTCTTTCTTAGGCCTTGGAGCATAACTGGGATATTGGGGCCTTGACTCACTGAGAGGATTGTGCAGCTCCAGAACGCAGGTTTTCATTCTGAAGGATTGTGAGCTCCAGCTCCCCTCTGGCCATCTCTACATGATCGTCTTTAGCTCCACAAACCCAGGATGCTCAGATATGACCCACCCCAAACTACCTCACCTCCTCCTTTTCTCTCAGCAGTAAATAGACAGCATCATCTTCCTGGTTTCCCAAGGTAGAAGCCTGAGCATTGGCTTTTAATGTGCCTTCTCAGCAGCCCATCCTTTCAGTATCTTGTAGCTCCCAACTCCTGAGAGTCTGTTCAGAATTGTCCAGCCTCTTTTCTCCCTCCTCACTATGTCTGTCAGTCATTTACTCCTCCCTCTAACTGCAGCACACCTGGACCCCTCGCCAGAGTCTCTGCTCCATTTCAGCCAACACCCAGTGCTGGGCGTCTTCCCTCCTGCTCCCAGCTCTGCTGGCTCCCACTGTCACCAGAGTGTTGTGTGGGGCTATTCTCACACTATGGCAGCACCAGCATGTTCTCTTCCCTCCTCCATATCACCAGTTCCTTGGGGACAGGGACAAGGTGTCTCTCTTGTCCCTAGTGCCTGGCGTGGGGCCTGGCATGTGGTAGGTGTTCAGGGAATGCTTGGCAAGTGGGTAGATGTTTAGTTGGCTGAGTGGGAGGGTACATGGATAGCACATTTCTGAGAATGATTCGGAAAGGTGGAAACGTGAGTCTGGGCCAGTGCTGAAGTGTGGCAGAGTGGAGAAGCGTTGGAGTGAGTAGGCAGTCTTTACAGAAGTGGCAGGGAGTGCAGGCCTGTGTGGAAGGGGGGACAGGCGCAGAGGCTCAGATCTTAACTGAGATCACATTTTATGTGTTCTCTGTCAAAGCACATGTCATGTCCCTGGAAGGTCTCATTTGATCCATGTGGTTGTCCCAGGAAATAAAGATTATTGTTCCCATTTTAGAGGTGAGGAAGTCTAGATTCAGGGAGGTTAAGCAACCTGCCTGCTTAACCTTGCTGAGCCAGGATTGAAAGCTAGCTGCCCCCTTGCCAGGCAGATGCCCTTTGCACAGCACACCCTCATTTGCCTCTTAGGGAGGATTTGGCACCTGTGCCCAGATCCCAGTGTGAACACATCCTCATTCCTTCTTGCTGGCGCCTACCCCCCACTGTGACTCCGGCCACTGTCAACATCACTCACCTGGCACTGACCCACATCCCCACCCCTCCACTCCAGTGATCCACAGCAGAACTCCTTCTCTGTCATCTCCTTATTGTTTCTTCCCTAAATGTCTAATAACTGAGCAGCTGGCATCCTGGGCCATTTGACTGCCAACTCTCAAGTTCAAAATCCATTAACAGGCCCTCGGAGTTACTGGTCAAGGGTTTAATGGTTTGGGTTTTTGTGGTTATATGGTCAGTTCCAAAATAGTCCGGTGTTGGAGTTAGTGAAAAATGCTACAGGAGAAGTTAATGTCTAAATGAATATACTATGGCCAGAATAAATATTTTTTCGGTAGGGTTCTTGAAATACATGTGCTATTTCAAATAATGCTCATTAAAAATAATGCTTTTACATAGCACTGTATACATTTTTTCTCTTTGGCTCTTCCCACCAATATCAACCAATATTTGTACAGCATTTTACAACATCTGACATACATTGTCATTTGATCTTCTTAGTAACCCTAAGTAGAGTTTTCTTATGTCATTGTTACTGTCATTTTCATCATCAGCAGCTGACCCCCCCCACTCCCCCACCTTTTTTTTCCCGACACGGTGTTTTCGCTCTTCTTGCCCAGGCTGGAGTGTGGTGGCGTGATTTTGGCTCACTGCAACCTCTGCCTCCCGGGTTCAAATGATTCTCCTGCCTCAGCTTCCCAAACAGCTGGAATTACAGGGATGCACCACCACGTCCAGCTAATTTTTGTATTTTTAGTAGAGACAGGGTTTCGCTATGTTGACCAGGCTGGTCTCGAACTCCTGATCTCATGTGATCCTCCTGCCTCAGCCTCCCAAAGTGCTGGGATTACAGGCGTGAGCCACTGCGCCCTGGCCCAGCAGCAGCCCCATTTTATAGATGAGGCTGATAGTCAGGATCCTTTAGCTTGTAAGTCCCGGAACTGGGATTTAAGTCCCAGGCCCACTGACCCAAGATCTTTTGTTCTGTGTATCCACGGCACACCTCATTCCCAACCCGCGTTCCACAAGCTTCATGTTTCACGTTCAGTGACAAGATGAGCCACTCATGCTGGGGTTCGGACAGGCTGCCCTGTGCGTGCAAGACTGTGGCCAAGCTGGGTAAAGCTGGAACCACAGGCTGAAGTGGCAGCCAGGGTCCAGCTGATTACATGTGGTCTGTCAGTTTAGGCCAGATTATAGGAGAGAGAGAGCAGGGATGAGGGGTCAAAGCCACAGAAGCCAGCTAGGATTTGGTAAACACAATGTTTGGGGGTAGGTGGAAGGCCAAATTCAAGAGGTTAGTGGAGCTCTTGAAACAGGATATGAACTATTGAGAAGGGACAGAAGAGAAAATGCATTAGCAGACCCAGGGGTCCATGTTAGGTCAGGTATTTATAACTGTCTGTCTCTCCTGCAGCCAGAAAGACTCCAGGGGACTCATTACTCTGTGCAGTCAGACATCTGGAGCATGGGACTCTCTCTGGTAGAGATGGCGGTTGGGAGGTATCCCATCCCTCCTCCAGATGCCAAGGAGCTGGAACTGATGTTTGGGTGCCAGGTGGAGGGAGATGCGGCTGAGACCCCACCTAGGCCAAGGACCCCCGGGAGGCCCCTTAGCTGTGAGTAGCCTGGTGTGTCCCCATCTTGGACTGTGTGTTGGGGGGTCCCTTACTTTCGGGTTTCTGGAGGGCTGATTCTCTGTACATTCTGCCAAGACTGATTTCTCTGTCCCTGGATGCCAGGCTAGGGCTAGGAGGAAGCAGCAAGGGTCTCCAGGTGGGTGTTGTTATTACCAACTACTTCCTACCATTTGTTGAGTATGTACTATGTTCTAGGCACTGCACTTAGGACTTTGTATACATTATTTAACCTTTTGTATTATTTTTATTATTAAGGGTCTTGCTGTGTTGCCCAGTGCAGTGGCTAGTCACAGTCTTCAACTCCTGGGCTCAAGCAGTCTTCCTCCCTCAGCCTCCAGAGTAGCTGGGACTACAGGCTATAATTTATCTGGGGGGTTGGGAGAGAAGGGGCTCACTCTGTCTGGAGTGCAATGGCACGATCACAGTTCACTGCAGCCTTAACTTTCCAGGCCCAAGTGATTGTCCTACCTCAGCCTCCTGAGTAGCTGGGACCACAGTCACATGCCACCATGCCCAGCTAGGTTGTTTTTTATTTTGTAGAGACATAGTCTCCTTATGTTGCTCAGGTTAGTCTCTAACTTTAGGGCTCAAGCAATCCTCCTGCCTCAGCCTCCCAAAGTGCTGAGATTACAGGCATGATCCACCATGCCTGGCTTCTAATTTCTGGGTTTTTTTTGTTTTTGTTTTTGTTTTGATACTGGGTCTTGCTCTGTCACCCAGGGTGGAGTGCAGTGGTGCCATCATGGCTTACTGCAGCCTTGACCTCTTGGGCTCAAGTGATCCTTCTGCCTCAGCCTCCTGAGTACCTGAGACCACAGGCATGTGCCACCGTGCTACCATGTCTGGCTAGTTTTTTGGTTTTTTTTTGAGATGGAGTCTCACTCTTGTTGCCCAGGCTGAAGTGCAGTGGCGTGATCTCAGCTCACTGCAACCTCCGTCTCCCGGGCTCAAGCGATTCTCCTGCCTCAGCCTCCCGAGTAGCTGGGATTACAGGTGTGTGCCACCACGCCCGGCTAAGTTTTTGTATTTTTAGTAGAGATGGCATTTCTCCACGTTGGTCAGGCTGGTCTGGAACTCCCGACCCTCGGGTGATCCGCCACCCTCAGACTCCCAAAGTGCTGGGATTACAGGTGTGAGCCACCGCGCCCGGCATGCCTGGCTAATTTTTATAATTTTTTGTATAGATGAGGTCTTGCTATGTTGACTAGGCTGGTCTGGAACTCCTGGGCTCAAGTGATCCTCCTGCCTTGGCCTCCCAAAGTGTTGGGATTTTAGGCGTGAGCCACTGCGTTCTAATTTTTTAATCATGACTTTTGGTAGTTTTTTTTTTTATTGAGATAGAATTCACGTAAGACAAAATTCACATTTTAAAGTATATAGTTCAGTGGTTTTTAGTACATTGTTCCATGTTGTGCAGCCATCACCACTGTCTCATTCTGGAACATTTTCATTACCCCAGAAAGAAACCCCATCTCCCACTCCCCCTCGCCTGATCCGCTGACAACCACTAATCTACTTTGTGTCCATGGATTTGCCTAGCATTATAGAATTTTAGTAGCATTTCATTTGTGAATATGATTATAATCTCCATTTTAAAGATGAGGAAACTGAGGCACAGGGCCCTTGTCAAGGCCACATAGGCTTGTAAGTGGCCAAGTCTGACTCCCAAGATGATAAACACTGTGCAGTACCACCTGCCTCTCTGAATGTGAATATTGGAAAGTAAACCTGGTACTCAGGGAATAGCCTGACCTAGCCAACTGTTTTTTATGTAGCTCCTGTCTGGCCAGGGATACCTGCCCTATACCTCCATGAGGTCCACATGAGAGAGAGCTTGTATAAAGGGGAAAGCAGAGGGGGCTAGGGGTAGCTGATGGCAGGTCATTGGAGGGGCTGGTGGCTGTGGCCTCTGAGGCTGGCCTGTGACTCTAGGAGACAAAAGGAAGAAATGCAAGTTCATGGAGAATTAAAACTAAGTCCTTTAGTTATTTAGCTGCTATCTCATTTGTGCCTCTCTCAGTAGAAGGAAGGGGGAAAGGACAGACATAATTATTATGTCTGTGCTTTACAAAACTCAGAACTTTGGCTCAGCAATGAACCGATTTGCCAAAGGTTATGAACTTAAGATGTGGCAGAGCCCAGACTTGTACCCTGCCTTTGCTGGTCCCCTCTGTGTTCAAGCCTTATCTGTGGATGTTTAATTTTTATTGTCCATGACCCTGTTCTGGTCCCAGGGATCTATACCCAACCCCTTGCCTCGTATTAAGAAGTAATCTGTTTCTGAGAAGTATTTTTTCTGTTTATAAAATTTGTAGCATATGGAATGGACAGCCGACCTCCCATGGCAATTTTTGAGTTGTTGGATTACATAGTCAACGAGGTAAGTACTGCCTGGTTTCCTTCACCTTAGAATTTACTTGCTCATCTTAAGAAAACACCCAGATCCTGGGCGCGGTGACTCATGCCTGTAATCCCAGCAGTTAGGGAGGCTGAGGCAGGTGGATCACATGAGCTAAGGAGTTCGAGACCAGCCTGGCCAACATGGCAAAACCCCATCTGTACTAAAAATACGAAAATTAGCTGGGCATGGTGGTGCACGTCTGTAGTCCCAGCTACTTGGGAGGCTGAGGCATAAGAATTGCTTGAACCTGGGAGGCAGAGGTTGGCTCTGAAAAAACAAAAACCAAAAAACATCCCTGTCACAGGTTCAGTCTACTAGAGTTTAATATACCTCTCTTTACTATATGCACAGCTTTATACTAAACACCACGGGCTGTAGAAAAGCAGTTTCAGGATCAGATCATTGCTGCTTAAGGATAATGAGGGAGGCAGAGCATGTTGCATTTGTAGGAGTCAGAAAAAAAGCCATCTATCCTCTACTGCTGTGGACCTAAGCTGGGTGATTCCGGGTGGTAGTCATATTAAGGGAAGGGATATCTGAGGTTAGATATGCCATTGCTGGTCTCCTAGCGTGCACTGCTCTCTTCCAAATTTTCACATTAATTTCCCATGTGATTCTCCCAAGCATTGCTGAGGTAGGCCAAATTGGTTCCTTTTCAAACAGGTGAGGAAATTGAGCCTCCAAGATGAAAAGTAGCCCACGTCATTCCCACCCAGTGCTCTTTCTTCCTCACCACCTCCCACTCTTACCTCCTAGGAGGCTTGGCCGCATGGCAGTTGATCCACTGCAGCCTCTGCTGACACACAGCCCCTCTGTTGCCTAGCTCTTTCCTGTTCAGAAGGAATGGATGCTGCCTCTGGAGGCCAAGCTGCTGGTCTCCTCTCTCCCTTGAATAGTCCCTTGATTCCCTCAGTAGCAGGGAGAGTCTGCAGAGTAGGACTTGCTCTGGGTCACTGTTCTAAGAGCTGAGTTCTAGTCCTCACCTCAGATCAGACTGACATGGCCCTCAGAGGAAGAGCACTAGGTTGGGCTTTGTGGTGGTGGGGATCAGTGTCTCATTTTTAATCTCAAATTAAAAATGAGATTTGGGGCTGTACATCAGAGCAGTGACATCATGGACATTATGTCCGTGGGTCAGCACCTCCCAAAGAAGCTACACGCAGCTCCCAGCCCGGGTGTGTAAGTTGGCCCACATTTCCTGGACTGCATGGAACACCGTGCGCCCAGTGCTCCAGAGCCTTGTAGTGTATAGCGCTGCGTGATCGCTCTGGGGACCTGACAACAGCCTCGCTGTGGAGTGTGCAGGTAACATTCTTCCAGACCCAGCCCTGTCAGTTAATGTTTCATCAACTTTGCACCGCCTCTCTAGGGCTCAGAAAAGGGATTTTTAAAACCGGTTGCTTCTGCAGGTGCTGTCAGACCTGGGCCAGCCTGGTGGTTTGCATGTGCCCCTAGCTGTTGCTGCCAGTAAATTGCTAGTTACGTTTCCATGTCGCACTCCAAGATTTACCATTGTAGAGTTTCAGAGCTTAAAAGGGTCCCTGAGATCATTAGGCCCAACCTCTTCATGTCATAGAAGAGTAAACTGAGGCTCAGAGAGGAACAGTGGTTAGTTCAAAATCACCAGACAAGTGAGTGGACTTGACTTGGTCCCAGTTCTAAGTGTGCTATTTGAGACCAGTGGCTCCAAGATGGTTACCCAAAAGGCAGCACTGGCCTTCCATCTGTGCCTTTCCTTGACTGGATGAGAGTAGCACTGCCTTTGGACTGCAGAGAAGACTTTAAGCAGGAGGGGTGGGATGGAGAGAGGAGATGGCTGGAGCAAGGAGCCAGGCATTTTTCTTATCTCAACATGTGTTTGCAGCCTCCTCCAAAATTGCCCAGTGGAGTTTTCAGTCTGGAATTTCAAGATTTTGTGAATAAATGGTAAGTTGGCTCCTTGTTCTCTGGAAGGGTACTCTGGATTTGTCAGGCTCCCCACCCCATTTCTGGAAGCACCAGCTTTGCTTCTGCAGGCACAGCTTTGCCCTTTCCCCTCCCCTCTGATGATTCTCAGCTGCTGCCATAAGCCCTTTTTTAGAGTGCCAAGATTTATGTGACATGTCTAACTACATCATGGATGTAGTAGCTGCTCCTTTTGGTACTTGCTCTCCAGGGATTGGCACATTGCTTTTTGATTCAGCAAGAATGTATTAACTTACTGTGGGCATGATATTGTGCTTAGAACCGGAGGATGAGTCAAGCCCAGGCAATCCTCAACCTCTAGTGTGCAGAGAAGACAGGCATGCAAACATGTTATTTGAGCTAGAACCAGTGCCAGGCAATAGCTCTCACCTTGTCTTTCTTCCTTTAAGCTTAATAAAAAACCCCGCAGAGAGAGCAGATTTGAAGCAACTCATGGTGAGTCCATTTATTCCAGATTCTTACAGTACCTGTTTATTCATTTGTTGTTCTCTGTCAGTCACCTGTGCAGTACTTCCAGAGCCCATTCATTCCCTGCCCACTGTGGTCCAGCTGAGCCTGGGGCTGCAGAATACCAAACACCAGTCTCCTCTGCCCTCCCATCAGTTTAAGGGAAAGCTGGGGTGACCCCTACAGCCTGAGTAAGCATGCCAGAGAAAGGCCTTAGGGGGCCATGGGAAAGAAGAAGGTCAGCCCACCCCCTTCATGGGGATGGGGCCTTTCCCTAATACTGACTGCCTCACCTTACATTCAGCCTCCTTCCTGAGTCACCCTCCGCCTGCTGTTTCGTTTGGTGGCAGTGGGGTTAGCTAAGTAATACTGTAAATATCTGGAGAGCCAGACTGTGCATAATATGCACTAAGTCCATCATTTTCGTTGTCCCTTCTAACAAGCCGGTGAGGCATTTAAGGCAGAGTTACTGTGTCCATACTGCAAGAGTAGGCTCCACGAGGTGACTTGCCCAACGCCTCACAGCTGCTGTGACTGATGGAGCGGGTCTTTGGGCCTGCAGTTGGCCCCACTGCTGCTTAGGGGCAGGTGCTAAGTACTCCTTCCAAGTGCAGCACAAGCTCTAGACCTGAAACTCCTGGGATTTTCCTTCCTGGTGGGTGTTTTTGTTGTTGTTTCTTTTTAACACCACGTTCTCTCGTTTCCTTACATGCAGGTTCATGCTTTTATCAAGAGATCTGATGCTGAGGAAGTGGATTTTGCAGGTTGGCTCTGCTCCACTATCGGCCTTCACCAGCCCAGCACACCAACCCATGCTGCTGGCGTCTAAGTGTTTAGGAAGCAGCAAAGAGCGAGTCCCCTGCCCAGTGGTTTGCCATGTCACTTTCAGGCCTCCTTCCCATGCCTGTCTCTGTTCAGATGTGCATTTCACCTGTGACAAAGGATGAAGAACACAGCATGTGCCAAGATTCTACTCTTGTCATTTTTAATATTACTGTCTTTATTCTTATTACTATTATTGTTCCCCTAAGTGGATTGGCTTTGTGCTTGGGGCTATTTGTGTGTATGTTGATGATCAAAACGCGTGGCAGGCTGAATTACAGTTAAATTTTGGTGACTGTGGGTAGTCATTCTTACAATTGCACTGCTGTTCCTGCTCCATGACTGGCTGGCTGCCTGTATTTTCGGGATTCTTTGACATTTGGTGGTACTTTATTCTTGCCGGGCATACTTTCTCTCTGAGTAGGAGGGAGCCTTGTGAGATCCTTCACAGGCAGTGCATGTGAAGCATGCTTTGCTGCTATGAAAATGAGCATCAGAAAGTGTACATCATGTTATTTTATTATTATTAGCTTTTCATGTAGAATTCAGCAGTTTACATCCAAATCTAGCCAGAGCCCTTCACTGCCATGATAGCTGGGGCTTCACCAGTCTGTCTACTGTGGTGATCTGTAGACTTCTGGTTGTATTTCTATATTTATTTTCAATATACTGTGTGGGATACTTAGTGGTATGTCTCTTTAAGTTTTGATTAATGTTTCTTAAATGGTGGAATTATTTTGAATGTCACAAATTGATCAAGGCATTAAAAGGTCAGATTTATCTTTCCCCATATCCAAGTACCAATGCTGTTGTAAACAACGTGTATAGTGCCTAAAATTGTATGAAAATCCTTTTAACCATTTTAACCTAGATGTTTAACAAATCTAATCTCTTATTCTAATAAATATACTATGAAGTTTAAAAAAAAAAGGATGAAAGCTACTTTTGCTTTTGTGGTAAGCTTTTCAATTTCTTTAGTACGCAAGAAATACTGGTTGAGCCAAGCATTATTGGTGAAGGGGAAAGGTGAAGATGAGGAGGAGGCTGGAAGGCAGAACCACCACACCAAGTTCAGTGCTTTGGACTAATGGGGCTTCCCGTAATTTCAGTCTCTGGACTCAGTCCACCGCTTCTCATCCCACACCGTTCTCTGTTCGTCCAACCCCCTTCCTTGTGGGACCTGTGAATAGATCCTGTATATTCTTTTGATCTGTTTATACAAGGGAAAAGCAGCCGATGGGGGTCTGGGAGCAAATCTGAGAAAAATCACAAAATATTTCTTATCTCACAGAACATTTCTCATTTTCCATATACCAATAGTTGAGCTGAGGGCCTGTCTGCACTTCCAGGCTGTCATGCCCACAGGAGGGCCTTGCTGGTAACCAGCTTGCCTACCTGGTGTGGGAGCTTTCTGCACGACAGCATAGTCTGTTTGCGACATTAAGCAATGGTTTCCCTTCTTTCACCACTTAAGCACACCTTCCTGGAAAGGAAGAATGTGCCTGATGCTGGCTTTGTCATGCCTGTGAGGTGGCAGTGATGTCACAAAGCCATGGCCCACTGGCCACAGGATCCCTTTCCTTAGCTGAGAAGTCTTTGGGAACTTTTAGGTACATTTGAGGCTGCCTGGTCAATACCTCTCCCCTCATTATTTTCTTTGAAAGGGCAGGTTATAGAAACTAAAAGCAACATGTATATTTATAAATAAAAGGCCCATTCCTTTTTAGATTAAAAACAAAACTTGAGTAAATAATCTTCTAAGTAGGTAGTTCCAATCTAGAGGTACCAGAAATTGGGATACTGCCAGGATTTTTAAAAAACGATCAGTGTTGTATATACTGCTGCCTAAGCTAGTCAGCTTTTTTTTTTTTTTCTCACCATGAGGTATAGCTTTTCTAAGTCAACAGTTCAACTTACATATTTTCAACACATAAACATTCAGGCTGGGTTTTAACATTTACACCCTGTGTCTTTTACAAATGACAGGATACCACCACTACTGAGAATGTTTCATTAAAATGAGAAGACTACATCCTTAGGAGAAATGTTATGATCCAAAACCCAGATCTGACCACTTTCATGCTCGGTGTCTTTTGAGGGGTGCTTAGATTTTTTTGTTTTAAAATTTTTAACCAAGAATTATGATCCCCGCATGAATCTTGCAGTGTTTTGAGCTCCCAATGCCAGATTCTTACTGAGATACCAATGATAGTAGGAGTTTCAAATGATCTCATTAGCACCTCATAGCAACCTGTGAAACTGCTAGAACACATGTGAGTATCTTCACCTTACAGATGGGAAAGTAAGTTGCAAAGAGGTGGGAGGACAAGGGACCAGTTAGTGGTAGAGCTGGAATTCATAGTCAATCTTTCCAACTTTGCAAACCCATGTTCGTATTTTAAATTAGACCCCCAAAATTTATGTACCTTGATGCTTTTTGTTCCCAAACTATCTTCCCATTGTGTGTTCTAAGGAACATGCTCATTTAAACTTCTGGCTGTTTCCTCTAAGAGCAGCTCAAAATAACTTCAATGAAATGTGGATTAACAAAAAAAGGTGGCCGGGCGCGGTGGCTCAAGCCTGTAATCCCAGCACTTTGGGAGGCCGAGACGGGCGGATCACGAGGTCAGGAGATCGAGACCATCCTGGCTAACACAGTGAAACCCCGTCTCTACTAAAAATACAAAAACCTAGCCGGGCGAGGTGGCAGGCGCCTGTAGTCCCAGCTACTCGGGAGGCTGAGGCAGGAGAATGGCGTGAACCCGGGAGGCGGAGCTTGCAGTGAGCTGAGATCCGGCCACTGCACTCCAGCCTGGGCGACAGAGTGAGACTCCGTCTCAAAAAAAAAAAAAAAAAAAGGTATTCTTTGCTTTATTTGGGAACTGCTGCGTAAGTTCTGCTTGACATGATTCTTTGTGTTTTGTTTGGCTTTTACTGTTGCTTGAGCAGGGGAAATTAATTTTATAAAATTAAAGAACTACTTATTTCACAGTATAGTAGTTAGTGGAAAAGGGACAGTATGCAGAAATGAACCTCAACTTCAAATACGAAGTAACAACTCTTACTCTGTTACAAAAATCCAGTCTTCCGGCCTGGCGTAGTGGCTCACGCCTGTAATCCCAGCACTTTTGGAGGTCGAGGCGGACAGAAAACCTGACGTTGGGAGTTCGAGAGCAGCCTGACCACATGGAGAAACCCTGTCTCTACTAAAAATACAAAATTAGCCGGGCATGGTGATGCGTGCCTGTAATCCCAGCTACTCGGGAGGCTGAGGCAGGAGAATCACTTGAACCCAGAAGGGGGAGGTTGCGGTGAGCTGAGATCACACCATTGCACTCCAGCCTGGGCAACGAGTGAAACTGTCTCAAACAAATAACAAAAAAAAATCCAGTCTTCCAAGCATGGCACATCTCTCTTAAGGGCTAGAAATGGATTTCAAACCATCCTGTTGTATCTTTTCCTCAGAGAAGGAACTGCTGCTTCTCTCTGTCACGATCTAGAAACCAGCAGGCTCCATGATGGCTATTTATAATTTATTTATAAAAACATTTTACCAGTGAGTGATGTCTCAAGTGAGAGGTGATAACAGCTACACAAAGCAGTTTATAGCATGCAGTATTTCAGTGCCTCTGAGAGGTAGCAAGCTTGTGCTCTCAGATGGCCCTCAGTCCTTCCCCTTGTCATCTTTCTGTCCTAGACTGTGAGCTAACTGCTCACAAGGATTCAGCGGCATGCAAACAGCCTTTAATTGGTTTTCTTCAAAGAGGCATTGTTGACTGGAAAGACTGGCTTGTATTTAAACTCTGCTCTTTTTGCAAATGCCAGACTTTCCCAATAGTATTTCAGAGGAAATTGTTTTGAACAGTTAACCGAATCTGACCAGATTACAGACAGCACCACCCATATTGCTCAATGCTAAGACACAGCATCTTTGATTTTCTGTATGTCATAACATTCTGAAGCTTGAGTTACTGATGGAGCCATTTTTGCAACTACACATCCTCCTTATAGTTCTTGCTTTCCTTTCAAGCAGATCACAGGGCCCAGGGCAAGATGAGTTCCTGGAGGAGAAGTGCCTGAGACTTAGAAATGCAATTTGTATAACTGACCAGCCTGGCTTTCCCCCTTCTTTAGGAATCTGATTCTTCTTCTTCCTCTTCTTCCTCCTCTTCCGTCACATGACTCTTTGTGCTCAACTCCAGGGTCGTTTGGTTGATTGATGCTTCATTGTCTACATGCACCAGCATCTGTATTGGCCAAGGGCATCACAGATTAGTAGGAAAGCTGCTGGCCTCAAAACAGCAAATTCTTAAAAATGATTTAAAATCAGATCTCAATTGCGTATCCCCAGTACTTATGACTAAGAGGTATGGCCACTTTCCTTTTATACCCCCACCTCCATTACCAAAATGGGGCAAAGGTAAATGCCCCTGATTCACTAGAATGTTACCTCATTTACAAACATTATTACAGAAAGCTCCATAAGATTTGTGCCAACTTACATGTGCTGCTGTATCATGGTTTTAAATGTCTTAACACACAAAATCTGGGAGAACTCAAATATTGTGTACTTAGAAATATGATTTTGCTGACTGACTTGAGGGCATTTGGTAAGAGATGAGTATGATGAGGACTGGAACTCATCTTTTAGCACTGTGCTTTGTACTTGAAGCCACACTCTTGATTCCCAAGGTTACTTATTCACAAAAAAGCAAGAGTTTTGACATATCCCTACAAAAATCACTCTCCCCCAGGTTCATCTGAGTAACTAGACAGAATGGATGACGAGGAGGATAGAGGTAAAACATTAGTAACTACTTAATAAATTAATTAGTGTATAACCAGCTGGTAGGAAGGTGGGTAATGTAGAGTTGCCACCTTATTAAACCAGAAAATTCTTATCAGCACTTTCCAGAGCCCTTTGGGCTAGGTAATGTGATTTACAACAGTTCTTCACCACCCAAGCAGCATAGGAGCAGAGCAGACTTTGCATTCTCTCCTAGGCCTGCACTTGATTAAGCTTACATCATGTGACTGTTCAGGTACAGTGTGAGAAGACAGCATCTCATCCCCTCTTCTAGAACTGATCATTGATTGGAGGGCTAATTCTTCAACCTAGAAAAGAAGAGTTGGGGACACTTTACCTTACTATTTCACTGGATGTGGTTAAACTGCTGGGCACACCATGAAAGGTTTGCATCAAGAGAGGGAATGAAAACAATCTCTGTTGCTCTAGAGGGAAAGTTGGAGGCTCTTAGGTTTTCTCTCTTTTAAGGAGATGAGTAAAGAAAGACTCCAGCCCTTTTCCCCTGGGCTGAACAGGTGCTCTGGCTGAGTCATGGCTTCCACTTCCCCGGACCTAGCAACTCAAAGTACAAGTGTGTCATTAAAACAGCCAAGTGTCATCTGATTCCTCAGAGATTCCCTGGACCTGAGGCTGTCAACTCAGTAATGAGAAGGTGAAGGAAAGAATAGAAAACAGGTGTCATCTGAAGCATAAGGAAATCTGGGCTTTGGAGGTGGTCATCAATATACTCATTAGGTACTGGGTACTGTGGGAATACAGGGACACAAATAAGTGGAGGGCATTATGACTTCCCTAAGGAGGCCAGGTGCAGTGGCTCATGCCTGTAATCCCAGCACTTTGGGAGGCCGAGGCGGGCGGATCATGAGGTCAGGAGATCGAGAACATCCTGGCTAACACTGTGAAACCCCGTCTCTACTAAAAATACAACTTCCCCAAGGAAAAATGCTTATGATTTTGATATGTCATAGGTGTACTTTTCATTTTACAAAGGGCTTTGGTAATCCTCACCTCATATGGACTTAAAGTTTCTGAAAAAGGGCCAAGCCCAGTGGCTCATACCTGTAATCCCAGCACTTAGGGAGCTGGAGGTGGGTAATCACCTGAGGTCAGGAGTTCGAGTACACCCTGGCCAACATGGTGAAACCCAGTCTCTACTAAATACAAAAAATTAGCCCGGCGTGGTGGCACATGCCTGTAATCCCAGCTACTTGGGAGGCTGAGGCAGAATCCCTTGAACCCAGGAGGTGGAGGTTGCAGTGAGCCAAGATCGCGCCATTGCACTCTAGCCTGAGCAACAACAGTGAAACTCTGTCTCAAAAAAATCCCAGCTACTTGGGAGGCTGAGGCAGAATCCCTTGAACCCAAAAAAAAAAAAGACTCTGAAAAGGATGGTGAGCAGGGATTAGCATAATAACCTCCCCAGGACTTTTTTTTTTTTTTTTTAAAGGCAGAGTCTCCCCGTATAGCGCATGCTGGAGTGCAGTGGCACAATCTGGACTCTCTGCAGCTTGACCTCCTAGGCTCTGGCTATCCTCCCACCTCAGTTTCCCAAGTAGCTGGACTACAGGCACGCACCATCACGCTCAGCTAATTTTAATTTTTTTTGGTAAGGCCGGCCGTGGTGGCTCAAGTCTGTAATCTCAGCACTTTGGAAGGCCGAGGTGGCTAATGGCTTGAGCTCAGGAGCTCGAAACCAGCCTGAGCAACATGGTGAAACCCCGTCTCTACTAAAAATACAAAAATTAGCCGGGCATGGTGGTGCACGCCTGTAATCCCAGTTACTTGGGAAGGTGAAGCACGAGACTCGCTTGAACCCAGAAGGCAGAGGTTGCAGTGAGCCGAGATCGTGTCACTGCATTCCAGCCTGGGCGACAGAGTGAGGCCCTGTCTCAATTTTTTGTAGAGACGAGGTCTCACTATATACCCCGGGCTGAGGGGCTGCATTAAGCACAGGTGTGGGAAGTGGCCCACGTGGGCCTAAATCCCGACTCCTCAAGGCCATGGCGTCTGGAAGCTCCAAACGTTAGGACAAGTCTCTTCTCCCACGGCCTCAGTGTCTTCCTTTGTAGCATGGGAGGATCTGGGAGTTCCTTCTGGCTTGGCAAAACTAGAGCCATTTCAAGCGCCAAGGCAAACTAGAAAACAGCAGCTCAGGAGGAAGGGGTCAGTGGCCAGAGGGGTCTAGGCGAGCCTTCGGGAGGGATCACTTCCTCAGACTGCTGTCTGAGGGCCATTAACATTTACAGGAAGCAGCAGGTAGGACTGCACTTGCCAAACACACATCCCTGGGCCTCACCCTAGACTTGCGAGGTCAAATTTCTGAGAGGTGGGGCCTAAGAAGCGCACAGCAAACTCCCCAGGTGATTCAGATACCTGTTTGTTTGTAAACCTGTAAATTGGCGCCACCACAGATAGTGAGTAGGGGAGAACTGACCGCAGCAGGTGGTCACCGCAGAGGCCGAGGTTGGGGGGGTCTGCACCGCAGAGGCCCAGGTTGGGGGGTCGCTCGGGAGGAATGGAGGAGGAGCGGGAGAGGGCCGCGGGGTCACCTTGAGGCGGTTCAGCTGGTCGTGCAGGGCTGCCTTCAACCGCAGCAGCGTCTCCTCCTCCTTGCGCAGTTCCTGAAGCCGGCTCAGCATGTTTCCTGGTCACATAGCCGACCTCCGCGATGCCGTCGGCCCGGCGCTCGGTGATGACGCCATCGCCACCGACTCCCGGAAACCGAGCGGGGAGACGGGGCTGCCCGCCACATTGGGGAAAGGCGAGGGATGCGCCCCCTTCCGGCGCCCGCCGTAACCTGGCCACTCCGCGGGCGACGAGCTGCAGGAAGGGTGCCTGTGTGTCAAAACACCTTGATTCATGAGTGATGATCAGGATTTCGAAATTAGATCCACGGAGCGGCAAAGAACCTGAAGAAATCTTGGGTTTGGCCATCCTTTAATCCGATAGGCCATTTCCACACCAAGTGGTCAAACACCGTTTCAAATAACTGGGTGAACAGCACTTCCAATGTGGTGTTCCAGCAAGTGGCTATTTTTAACCCCACAAAACCTGCAGATGTATTTGAAGGCAGGCACCAAATCAGTAGCACATGAACTCTGTGTTAAGAGGGTCTGCAGGGTAGGACTCACAGTGGACTTTAAAGGGGTAAGGCTGCACAAAATAGAGAACTAAAGAGCATGAAAATAAAGCCGTGCTAAGAAATGATGTGCTTAAGAACTGAGATTTGGCCCTGGAAATGGGGAAGGTAACAGATCACCTTGGCTATGAACTTTGAGAATGTCTGACAGTTTGAGACTGTCACAGGGAAGCTGAGTTTAACAATCCAGATGCAAAACAAGACTTTGATACAGGACAAGAGGTTAATTCTAGGGTATTATTTGCAGTTTAGCTTTATGAGTTAAAAAAAAGGGGGGGCCCCTAGGGTATTATTTGCAGTTTAGCTTTATGAGTTAAAAAAAAGGGGGGGCCCCTTGTATCTGGAGGCCATTGGAGGCATTTCATGGGTATTTCTTTTGGACACACTTGGTTAACATAATCACCAAGACACACATTAAGTCCTGAAAAATGCTTCTGGTACTTTTGGGCCAGTCTCCCTCTGACACCCAGGCTGGAGGACAATGGTACAATCTTGGTTCATTGCAACTTCCACCTCCCAGGTTCAAGTGATTCTCCTGCCTCAGCTTCCCCAGTAGCTGGGGTTACAGACGTGTACCATGACCAGCTATTTTTTTTTATTTTCAGTAGAGATGGAAGTTCATCATCTTGGCCAGGCTGGTCTTGAACTCATGGCCTCAAGTGCTTTGCCCACCTTAGGGTCCCAGTGTTGGGATTACAGGTGTGGCCTTCTGGCACTTTTTCAAACCATGGGTGAAAATATTCAACTCTATTGTCATAGCTGGTTAAAAAGAACACTTTTCAAAAGGTAATCAATTTTACTGCAGTACCAAAAAAATTGTTCTCCAATTGTGCCCTCTTGTGGTTAAAGTGTTAAATATTTACAGAATTTAACCTATTTTCCACCTGGTGGGGAGCTAAACTTGAACAGCCTCTGCGTTTCTCACCAAGTCCTGTTACACTTACTTTTAAGCCACATTATTTAAAAAATCGTAATTTTTTAATCATTCCCCTTCCATTGAATTCCATGGACTCAGTATAAAATGGAACAGTCTAAATTATGGCCAACAAAATGTCACTTTAAAAAAATTATAACCAAGCTTTACAGAACACACCAAGCCATGTTTCTCACTGCCTGTATGATCAGGTATTTATTCAAGAGAAGCTGTCCAAAATGATGTGACCCTTATGGAATAATCAAATTTAAGAGTTCATGCAGCAGGCTTCTTTTCCTCTGTAGTAGGTTTCTTTTCTGCAGGCTTCTTTTCAGGGGCCGGTTTCTTGGTAGCTGCTGCCTTTTTTCCCACCAGAGGCTTCTTCTGCTTCTTAACACCAACAGCAGCCTTCTTTCCTTTCTTACCTACCACAGGCTTCTTGCCTGCAACCGCCGCCTTCTCATCTGATTTGGCTTCTAGTGCTGCTGCTGCAGCAGCTGCCTTATCCACCCGGAGCTTGTGCTGCAACAAATTAGGCAGAAAACAGTAAGAATCAGCCGACGCGGTTGGATCACCTGAGGTCAGAGTTGAGAACAAGCCGGCCAACATGGCAACCCCCAATCTAAAAAATATAAAATTAGCAGTTGCAGGGTCCACACTCTGATCCAGACTCCAGCTGAGACAGAAAACCAGAGGTAGCGCAGTAAAGCCAAGATCACTG